ATAATACATTCATTTTCCTAAAGTGTTCAAATCAAGATTTAAAAACACTGCTAAATAATGGTGTTTCTTTTTATAGCCAGACTAGAATACCTTAACAACTAGTGGATGGATTACCACAAGATGTTGTACACACATTGATTTTCCCCTGTAGATTAACCCTAATGACTCTGGTGATCCCTTGACTTTTCCTCCAGCACCATCATTAGGATCTGTCAACAATTATTGAATGGGTTGCAGTGAAAGTCGTTTATATTCCCCTCAGGATGAATTGTAATAACTCATTCCCATCAGCTTCAGCTGTAACTGAAACACTTTTTAGATGAATGTCATTTTAAAAGATACCGTTACACCTCACGTGTGCGTTCTATCGATACCAGGTGCTATATTTTGTAAGGCAAGGTAAGTTTATTTGTATAGCACATTTCAACAACAAGGCAATTCAAAATGCTTTACATAAAACTTAAAAGCAGCACAGGGAGATTGACAAGACACATTAAGATATAAAAAGTAAAAGTCACAGTGCAGTGTACAACATTAATCCACAGCCGTGCATTTGATTTAATTAAAGGCAAGTAAAACGAAAAGGCAGTTTCAGCAGACCTGCAGTTTTCTGGGAGTTTGTTCCAGGTATACGGAGCATAAAAACTGAACGCTGCTTCTTCAGGTTTAGTTTGACTCTGGGGACAGAAAGCAGACCTGATCCCAGCCGACCTCAGAGCTCTGGATGGAAGAGAAGAAGAAGAAGGGAAGTTGCGCATGGAAACACGCGTGGGACAGAGAAAACACAAGGATATAAATTTAAATTAATATTGTTTTTATTAAAAAACATTAAACATTGTCCTTCTTAATATGTAAATGCAAACATAATGTCCTTAATCTTAATAACAAGTATATGAAATTTCATTTTTCAAACATATTGCCTAACAATCAATGCACAGCCTTACATTTCTGCTTCTAATCATATTGAGTGATTTACAGCAAAAATGTCAAACATTCTCAGTTTTAAGCTTCTTCAGTCAGATAATTTGCTGATTTTCTCTGTTTTATATTACTATTGACTGATCTTTACTTTGGACTGTTTGTTGGACAAAAAATTTCAATCAACACATTTAAAAATGTCACCTTGAGCTCTGGGAACATTTTTCACTGTATTCTAACATTTTATACAAATAATAGAAAACAGAATGATTGTCAGTTTAATCAACAATAATAATTATTGGTATTTGCAGTCTACATTTTATTAGGACCTGAAAACACGTGAAATATTATGAAGGATCCAAACCTGCTGATCATTGAATCAGTGGCTGCATATATGTTAATGTCAAATAGCAGTGAGCCAGAGTCGTACCCTGAGGCACTCCAAAAACAGTGTTTGATGTCCAAAGATAACATTAGAAAGACCCTAAAATGCTAAAAATTAGCACTGCTTGTTATATTACAAGTGATATTATAAAGTAATGGAGGATGTTAGATAACAGACAAAAGGAAGCAGAAGAAGCTGCAGCAGCCTGCCAAAGCTTAACAAATCCAGTTACATCCTGATCAGCTTTGAAGAAAGCTTAATTGCTTCTTAATTGCCTCCTTTATTAACGGAGTGTGACATTTTAGTGTTTGACTTTTCTCTGATTCCAGTGTTATTGATGTCTTTATTCTGATCCCCTCTTTGTTCGGTCATCTCTGTAACGCCAGAAGCTTCGGGGCAAAAGACAAAAACTCTTTCTCTTAAATTTCTCGCCGCAGAGTTTGTGCCAGCTTTGCATATAAATTTGCTTGTGAGTAAATCCTTCCCTCCAGGATCTCTTTTTTAACCTCAGCAGGAGCCATCAGTCTCCGGAAGACACAGGAGACTCTTCAGATTTCAGTTTGACAGGATTAAAATTAAAATCCAATTTTGTCCTTCAAAAATCCCATTGTCTTTCTGACAGTCACACCACGTGTCAGAAAGAGATGTTAGGTACAAATGTTGGTATAGGATAGAATATATAACATATTTAGTTGATCAGATATGGTCATAAAATACAAAGTCTCTAATTGTTTTTTATTTAAATTGTATATATTTACTTAAATGTGTCAGCTAGCCTGTAGCTCAGAGTGCAGACTCACGCAGAGAAAATAAAGGCTAAGGAGATGAATATAAATGAAATTATAAAGCCAGATTTAAACACACAACTTAAAACAAGTGCTGGGAAGTAATCATGTGCAGTAAGACGCTGTCGGTCGTTTGTCCTCAGTGTTTCAGCTCTTGGACCTTTTTCAGGTAAAAATGGGTTAGTAATAAAATGAAAAAATAAATAAAGTAACAGTGTGTGGGATTCTTTTGATTTGAAAACACCTGACAGTAGTGCATAGTAGTGCTGTAGTGCTCGAGACCAGTCTTAAGACCACTTTTTGATGGTCTTGGTCTTGACTACAGCACTCCTGCATAATATTAAACCTCATTTCCTGCAACAGAAATCTGGAGTGAATCAGCTGCAGAGCTGCTGCAGTGTTTGACTCCAGTCCAGCAGATGTCAGGCTTTCACAACTTTACAGCATGTCTGATCACGTCTGATGAGAAGGAATCTGATAGGAAACACTGATAAATGCAATTAGCTTATCTGAGACACAACTTACAAGAAAAAGAGACTTTGCATTTTCTTTCTGTGATCTCTCCTGCTGACTGTAAAGTAAATCCAACACCTCATTGGCTGATGGCTTCTGTTGTTTTCTGACTGGAATGTAAATGAATCTTTCCGGACTTTAGAGCTGGAGTTGGAGCAGTTAATATTGGGATAAAGATTATGCAAAAGTATTGTTCCACATTTAACATATAAATGAGGAAACGCATCATCATGAATAAGCAGATGTTACACAGCAGGAGTGAAACTGTGAGATACAATGTGCAGCATGAAAAGATGCTGCACATTGAAATGATGGCAGGCCTCCCATACAGCTGTTTATACATTATTGTTAGTTTTGGTTTTGCTATTTATTTTTTGTTTTTTTTTAATGTATCAAAGTTTTAATATCAGCACGACCTATGGCGATAACATATGTTGTTATATATACACGTAAGATTGAAGAAATAAGGTATATGTGTAGAAAAATACAAAACACACCTAAAAAGACACAAACATTTACAGTAAACATTTACATTGTAAACAGACAATAATACTCTGAAATGTATGTAGCCATTATTATTCTGTCATATGAATGTTGAAGTAGATGTGTAAAATAATATAAATGATAAATTGTCATAGAAAAAACATTTTCCTTCCAGATTCCCTCATGTTCCTTCTCTGATCTGAAGATGCACAGGAGCAGAGGCGCCTTGGTTTATTAGAAAATTCACATTTTTCCATCTTAAAGCCACCATGAAGCATCAGCCCTGCTGCTGCTGCTGCCGCCTCATATTGAGGATTTTCAGGTGAGCTGTACGCTTCACAGAGCTGCCACTCAGTCTCTGACAGCTGCAGCTTAAACCGAGTCACTGCAGGTGAGACGCAGCCAGAATAACAACACAACTGGACTGAGACACAAAGAACAGACACAACAAAACGGATTCCAGGAAGCTGAAGAAGAAACGACAGCAAACATTCATCAAAACAGCTTCAGTCAGAGCAGAAATGATTAATATCTGTGGTCACAACAGGCCGTCTGCCTCGTCAGCAGGGGTGGAAGAAGGGTTCGGTCTCTTTGGTGCTTTTCTCAAATCATCCTTAACATCTGCAAAACAGAAACTGCAAGTCCTTGTGTCATTAGTTACAAACAAGATAGTGAACATGTTACAATGCAACTGTGTACTGTCTGATGTAAACAATGACTAAGGTGTTGATGACAATGATTGAAAATGCTCACTCTCTCTACAGCATCTATCAACTCCAACAGTACAAAGTTAAACGTTGCAAGAGACAGCAGAGGATTCACACTATTACTGTTGTGATGTAATTAGTTGACAGAACACGTCATTGTGAAACAGAAAATAAAAATACTGTTTTCCAGCACCGCAGAGCCCAACGGTAGATTCTCATCTACACTGAACAATTATAGAAAAATTGTTAGAGGCAGCGCTTTTGTTTTTGCCCCCATTCATCATGAGCTGAACTCAAAGATCTGAGATTTTCTCTCTGTACATAAAAGGCCTATTTCTCTCAAATACTGTTCACAAATCTGTGTCAGTGAGCTCTTCTCCTTTGCCCAGATAATCCATCCACTTCACAGGTGTGGCATATCAAAATGCTGATCAGACAGCATGGGGTTTGCACATGTGTGCCTCAGGCTGGCCACGATAAAAGGCCTCAGGCTGGCCACAATAAAAGGCCTCCGGCTGGCCACAATAAAAGGCAGGCTGGCCACGATAAAAGGCCTCAGGCTGGCCACGATAAAAGGCCTCCGGCTGGCCACGATAAAAAGGCCTCAGGCTGGCCACGATGAAAGGCCTCAGGCTGGCCACGATAAAAGGCCTCAGGCTGGCCACGATAAAAGGCCACTCCAAATTTAAAGTCTGTAACTTCCTAAAGCACAAACACACAGGTGAGATTATTTCAAACTTGTCTGTTATTGTTTAGACACAAGAATCATGACTCCTTGAACATAAAATAAATCACTTATTCTACAGTCCTCTCTCCATCACAGGGGAGTAAAATGGATGACTCTTCAAAAATATGTGGTCACATGACCAATTTTATCTGTGGATAACCAGAAACAAGGGAGGGACCACAGGGTCATGTTACCCCGCTCTCCCCTACATACTGCCAGAAGGCTTATTTTATACAAAATGCATCATGTTCCTTTTACATTATTATTATATTCAATGTATTTAATTGCATTTAAATTTACAACTGTTTTCATAGTTTTTGCAATCGATTAATGGAGAAAATGATCTGTAGATTAATCCATAATGAAAAAAAACATTATTTAATAAACAATCCCAGCCAACAGTGACCTCCTGACACAAAGTCAGAGCTTCCTGAGGGGGGAGTTTGAGCTGAGCATGCGCAGTCGGCCCGCCGTCGCGCGTAGTTTGAGGAAGTTTGGATCAGTTCTCTACCTGCTGCTGGATGTTCCGATGTTAGTTGCTACCCGTACAGGTGAGTCACTTCACGGCTTCACGTGTCCTCACACACCTCAGGAAACATCAGAGGACACGTCAGGAGATATTTAAATATATAGTATTTAAGGTCGCGTGTCGCTGAGAAGCGCAGGTTTAATATCCGGTTGATTAAAGGTTCAGCTCAGGTGTGTTTTACCTGTTAGCTGCTACCTGGCTGCTGTTAAACCCGTTGAACTGCTTCATTCTACTCTCTTTATCTGCTGTTTGTTGTTCAGTAACATCACTGCAGCCTACAGATTAGAGGTACTTTTTACTATATTTATCTGACTGCTTCAGTTACTTTGGGCTCTGGGTAATTTTTACAACGGATCACTGGAGAAAATAATCATCAATTAATTAACAGAATAGTTCAGCATCGACCAAATGCAGCAGTAAAATCCTGCTTTTACATCAAGGCGTGATGAATGTAATAGTGCAACAGTCTCAGGGGACATTTTACTTTCTGCTTCAAGTGCTTTTAATACTTTAAATACCTTTTTCCTGAATGTACTCACATACTTTTTCTCAAGTAAAATTTTCAGTGCAGTACTTTTACTTGTAACAGTATTTTTACAGTGTGGTATTAGTACTTTTACTTGGTAGTAAAGGATGTGAATTCTTCACTGCTGTAAGCACCATCAGAAGCAGTTTCCTTGTATAAACCTATTTATGTTATATCAGATTATAATAAACCAGCAGGTGACTGATTTGTTTTTTTGCCCTTCCCTCATCAGAAATGACCTCAACATCAGATCTGGAGCAGATGGCAGAAATCGGTAACTGAGATGAACACATTCATTCATACTTTAACTTACCTTTTATTTAACCACATAAAATGTTGTTAAGAGACGCGACCGAGAGGAGCGACAGAAAACATTATTTTCAGTAAATCCCAACAACAGAAAACAGAAAACTGTCACTCGCGACCAGAGAGTATTCACATTATATCATTTTATTCAGTAAAGGCGTATTGGCTAATTGTTGAAACACACCGTTTCTGTTGTATCCTGTAAACGAACTTTGTTTATATTCTCGATGTCGTCGTCTTGTTGTTTCCTGTATTTTAGGAAAACTTATGGAGATTTTGTGTTTGACCTTTTAAAGCTAAACATCTTCTGTAGTGTGTGAGGTGGATATTTGGGTAATACTGAGGAAGAATTAAACTTAGGAACTTAAAGCTGAAGAACTGGAAGCGCATTTTATTTTAACAAGTAGAAAACAATTTAAAATTGAGTTTAAAGCTTCTAACGTCACTGAGGGTCGATGACACGTAGAAACTAACTATTTATCTGCCGCCTTTGTTCTCAATTAATCAATCAGTTGTTTGGTCTATAAAATGGTGAAAAACGTCGATTCCCAAAGTCCAAGATGACGTCCTAAATTCAGTTTACTGTCTCAGAGGAGCAAGCCACCAGGAAATATTCACATTTAAGCTGGAATCAGAAATTTGCCTTTTCTTTCTTTAAAACTGCTCAAACCGATGAATCAGTTATCAGAATAATAGGTCATTTTTTAATAGTTGGCAGCTAATTGATTAATTGTTGCAGCTCCACAAACTGCAGGATCATGAAAGTGAACTGGGAGTGTTTACAGTTTGTAGACCGTCTGTGTTCTGATGTTTTTGAACCGTCACCCCAAAGAGAAGCAACATTTCCAGTTGTACACGTGTGAATGGAATGGATTTGTATTTTTTTTTTTTTAGAGGAGGGTCGGCCCTACAATAAATCCCGACATGTCAGGGTATCTGTTCTATACTCTGACACTGAGACATTTGAATGTTTGAATTATCAGTCAAAATAATCCAATCAGACATTTTTAAGCTCCTGAAGTCGCTCTCTGCCTCTGAACTGTTTTTAAAGTCTCTTGGTTTCGAGTTTGTCCTATTTCACCAGAGTTTCCCTCTCCTGCCTCTGAACTAAACTGAGCCTTTTGTCAGGTCGACTCATTTCCTCTCTGCTATCAGACCGGCTCCGTGTTTAGAGAAAACTTCCCCGAGAGCTGCAGGATAAACATCCACAGCTCGAACAGATGGCGGCGGGAGTTTCCCAGTCCTCAGGCTCGGTAATTTTAGGCACAGGGCAGATAAGCAAATCATTTAGGACGTAGGTGGTGCAGAGCGGGAAGCTGCGATCGAGCTGATGATCCTCCTTTTAAATAATCAGAAGGTTTATTCAGTTTGTTTCAGAGCGGCCTTCCCTGCATGTGTTGGACACTTAGACGTAACTGTAAAAAGCACCTGCTCCTCAGTCTCGGGTCTAAAACTCCAAATAATTGTTGACATGTTTGAAATCCTTTTGCAGAACTGCAGAAAGAGGAAGAGGAGGACGATCAGAGGTGTGTCACCGACGGTCCATCGCTTCCTCCGGCCAGCACCTTCAGTCCTGACCTTTCTCACCCGTATTATGATGTGGCTCGACACGGCATCATCCAGGTCTCCGGTCAGTACGCGCACCTTTTCTTAATTCTGAGTGATTTTGAAATGAAAATCCAAAATTCTTTTAGCTCCTGATTTTAGTTTTTTGCACCACCGTGCTCGACCTGCTCAGCAGCAATGGACCCGTTAGAGCCTAAAACAAAGCTCATCAGTGTGATCACAGAGCTGTAAAACCATTTCACCGTTTTTATCGAAATCCACTAATAAAATGAGCTTTGCATGAAAGTTAAAATCAGATCATAAAGATAATATCAGCCAAAACCTTATGGAACCGTGTGAAACCAGATCGAACGTGCATCAACACTGAAGATGTTCTATAACTATATGTTATGGTCTCAGTAAATGCAGTGACCCCACAGTGACACACAGAGGGGCCTCGTGCACCAGTCTGCAGAGTTTCTCCTCGGCTTTTGGGGAATCAGTGAAAACTGATGTCACACAACGTCCGCTGCGTCTTCTAAAGGAGGAAGTGAGTTTGCTGGCCGTGTGACAGCGTTTTGCAGGAAGCGGCGATGAGCGGT